GTGTGTGTGTAGATGGTAAAGCGGGGAAGGGGCAGAGGAGCCTCAGAACAAATTTCGTGTAGGCACACACAAATGCGAAACCAAAGCACCTATCCTCATAGTCCGGGCCACCGATGCGGCAGAGAAGTTGGCCTTCCCAAAGAATCGCCCCTGGAAGCGTCTGGTTGATCCTCCTTTTTCCCTATGGCACTGCCTGCCTCCAACTATAAAAGGGACAAACCGACCCTTTTGTGACCGAATGGTGTTTATCTGAAGTTTACAAAAAAGGGAGGGAGGGAGGGGGAAAGGTTGGTGGGTAGGCGGGGTGGTTTACTTTGGCAAGTTTGCTGTAAATACTCTCTTCAGCATGTGTGAGGTCTGGCGAGGGACTATTACACGCTTATTCCCTCTTAAACTTTCACCCCCCCCCTTTGCCGCCCAGCTTTTTTCAGTCCGAGGTGTCGGTAAATTGGAAACTCTGTTGACATAAAGACATCCGTGTTTCTCTAGGGGTCTGAGGCCTAATTAAGAAGTTTCCTACAGTGGTCAGGTCAACGCAGAAACTTTTACTGGGGAGGAGTTCTCTGATCGCCTGGCAGTGTAGAGATGGCTCCCTGTTTCTGCCCAGTGCCCCCCCTCTGCACCTAGGGTCTGGCCTTTTTGTTTTTGTTTTTGCTTTCGAAATTGACAAGCTTTGAAACCCACTGTATGTGGCTATAGGGCTCCCACCCCCTTTGGCCGCCCCATTCTGCTAACTGGGGACCTGATCTTCCTGCCAGAGATCCCAGGGAATCCGCTGTCTCCGGAGTGCCTAGCTTAGTGTTTGTGAGTCCTGCAAAATGCTGCCGGCAACCTCCTCCCCACCTTAGCACTCCTGTGCTACCCCAAACCCTGACTCTGCCATATGCAGCTCTGAACCCACTAGAGGACCTCAGCACAGACCACGGAAGCTAGATGTTCCTCCTGGAGCTTGACGGTCGCTTCACCCACCCACCCCCTCCCCAAAGCTTGCTTTAAGAGCTCAGTTCCTCCCTGGCCAGGAGTCAGGAATCAGCCTCCCTATCTTTCCTCCCTCTGGGGGCAGGCACAAGCCTCTAGGCTGGACCAGACAGGACACCCATCTTTTGTTTCTTTTTTGTTTTTGTTTGTTGGCCGGTTGGTTGGTTGGTTGAGGTCCCGGTCTCTGTTCATCCTTCAGGACTGTGACTGTAGACCTGTAGCATCTTTT